TTTTTTTTTTTTTTCAGATTCATTTAACTTTTCTCAACTTCAAAAAGCAAAAACAGTACAAATTAACTTCACATTCTCCTCAAATATAATATTGGTCAACAACCCAAAAAAGAAATCTTGACTTAAAACATTTCAATGAGAAATTAAAACAAGACTAATCAATTTCCTTTCTTGCAGAACCACATGCACATCTGTAATACCTGAACACATCAAAGCCCTGGCCCAGCAAATGGTTAAGCCAATGAAAACAACAGTTAAAGAAGTTAAGGAAATGTATCAAAGAGGATGCACCAGAGCACTATTTTCAGGGACGGTAACAAAGGTATGACTAATTATTTATGTTAGATATATTCTATTAAACATATTTCATGTATCATAAAAAAATCTAAACGCTACCCAGCGTTGAACCATAACGTTGAGAAGAAATTGGAAAAATTGTATCAACGTCAGAAAACAATGTAATATCAACCCCACCCAGCAGGAAATTGACCTGGATGTGTGTGTAGCAGTAAGACATTTTTGATAGTTAAAATATGTAGAGTATAAATGTATGGTCTTCAGTTAAAATTTCCAAGGTGTTTAGATTAATATATTTATAGTTCTTTCCTTATCTAAACATAAATATATAAGAAGATAACTACAACCTTATATATATATATATATATATATATCGAAGAATTAGATCAGTACACCTTGAAAAAGTGCTCCACCCATGGTGGCGGCCCGTGGGGAGCTGGTATAATCAAGGATGTGAATAACTTAGCTTCCTCTCTCCATTTCATTTAAAAAATATATATATAAGAAGATAACTACAACCATATAAGTCACAGTCAACCTGTCTATATAGCAGGTTACCAATAGGCCTAACTGTTTACTCCATCACATTTAAAGCAACTTATTCATCCTAGTGTTAGCTGACCTTGCAACAAATTCAGTTTATTGCAATGTATTTCTGAATAACAAAATAAGAAAATTCACTAGTTATCTAAAGACACTAAACAACTGTCACTTTGACTTTAAAACAGTTTTGTTATTATTTTGATAAATTTAGTTACACTATTGATAAACAAAGTATTATGTTTTCAATAATTAATAATTTAAATTACAATCCATAAATGCTAGGTTGTGTAATTGACCAAAATACAACGCTGAGTCAACATGGCTGGATCAACGTTGATTTTACCTTGAATTTAGGTAGATCAACGGCAATTCAATGTATCAACCTGTTTTCAACATTGATCCAACGCAACTATGCCTGCTAGGTACTAATTACTTCACATTTAACATGTCCAATGTATTATATGTCACATTTCTATACAAACTAAATATCCTTTCATACAACTCTTGCAGTTTTTTCAAAATTCTAATAAAATTCCAATATTAATTTCTTTCTCTTTCACAGATGGAGACCAAAGAAGTAATTGTGAAAAATGAAGCAACCCCTCTTAATCAAATGACGGTGACAGACGACACAGGCTCAATTACAGTAAATTTATGGAGAGCAGCAACTACATCCCCAGTTAAACTGGGAAGTCAATTGTCAGTGGAGGGCAACCTCCACTTCAATACTTATGAGAACCAATTGGTATGCCACGTAAATTCACGAGAAAATGTAGAGGTAACCACACATTGAACATCTTTCCTCTTTAACTGTTTTTAAAATAATGCTAATAATTTGCTATACTGTTTTTCAAGAAATGATCAACATTATACAAGCATTATTATTCTAATAATCATCAGTTACATTGTTCACTTTTAAAACAAAAGTCCACACACAGGTCATCATCATATACATATCATGCTTCATAGAAAAACATTATTACTGAGACCACTAAAAACCATTATTAACTTACATATAAAAGCTTTCTCTGTTATGATTTAGAATATTTTTACTTATTTCATTATTATTCCAGATTCAAGAAAGTGTCCGAATGGAAAAAGCCATTAGGTTATTGGGCATCAGTTATGACCACACCATGCAAAAGTTCCTTTTCTTCACCGAAGAAGAAGAAGAATTACAAATGTCTCTCGACGAAGCAACAAAAATATGGCCACACCCTTCAGAGGATGAGATCAGCAAAACGTTACCATTGGATATTACATGTGTAGTAACTGAAGGCTATATGACAGATGTAGCAATACAGGGTAATTGCTAAAATTTTTGACTCCCATCATGCCATACCATACACTATATATACTATAATAAAAATTTATAACTTTCCTTATTTTAATAACTTAATATGAGATGCTAACTGAAACAACAATGTAATATGTGCATTCATACACAGTAATTGATCCAGTCTTCTGCCTCCTTCGCAGTGTTGTGAAAAAAAAACTGTTAAAATATACATAAAATCCTACATTTTTTTTAAATTTTCAAACTATGATCATGTACCGCAGAATAATTAAATTAAAAGCCTCACTCAGAGTTTTCCATTTTTATTTTATCTTCAATGTTCATTGATATGACACAAACATTATCTTAGCATATAACAACTGACATTACCTCTTGTTACTGTTATGCATTTAACTGTAACTTATATTAGCTTTTCATTAACTACATAGATATAAAACCTTCAGACATAGGTCAGCACACCATGCCAGAGCCAGGTACCTCTGGAAGCAAGCCCTCCATGCCAGAGCCAGGTACCTCTGGAAGCAAGTCCACCATGCCAGAGCCAGGTACCTCTGTTTAAAATAGCATTATGGTAAGCTTGCTTTTCTTTTCATTGTTATATAACTGCTGAATAACATTATATTGCTTCAACCAAAAATCAGCTCTAAGCAAATGAACAAAACTGTCATAAAACACTTAAGTGCCTTTTTGGTAAACTTTGCCAGAAATTTTTACAGTTCAAAATTTATTACTTAAGTACATGATCAAATTTGACATGGAATACTTTCATGTGTCAATAATTTCTTATAATTTCTGTTTTTATAATAAAGATATAAACAACAAAATTTTCAATTATATAAATTTGATCCCTTCTATGGTTAAAAATGTTATTACAAAGATCTTTTTCGTGTCTACTATGGGGTCTCAAACACTCATACTTATTCTTTTTTTTTTCAGCTCAAAAGGAAACAGGTTACTACCTAAAATCGGCACAATCAGTTAATATTTACAGAATTTTTTACTTTTTTCTTTTTCATTCTAAAAGTCATTTTTGTAATGCCGATTAATGTAAAATATACAAGCTGTACGTTTTTCTTTTGTCTGATGTTTTTCTTTTTTTTTTTTGTTAATTATAATTTTGCCTTACTTTAGTTGTAAGTGTACCTTAAGGAATAATGTCTATTACATATAATATTACCCAAAACTCATTCCTTTTTTTTTCTTTTTTATTCTAAGAGTCATTAATGTAATGCAGATTAATGTATAATATACAAGTTGTACATTTTTCTTTTGTCTGATGTTTTTCTTTTTTTTTTCATCTTAGTTTTATAACTTTTTCATAGTTTAGTTCTTGTTATACTTATGATGTTTAAGTAAAATGTGAGACAGCCTTGCTACTATGTACATATGTTATTATCTTAAAGTTGTCAAAACTTTTAAGTTTAAATCAGTATTTCTGCAAATTGTTCATCCTATTTTTCATGTAGTTCTGTATACAGTAGTTTCTACAGTAGTGCAGTTCTTATAGTGTTAAATATGTAACTTTACATTTTAAGGCAACACATGCAACATCCATATTCCAAAAGCCATTAGTGTATCTACTGATCAATATCTGTGTCCCGCATACCCCATGGTGCCACTGAATAAACAAATCACTGATCGTGATCGAAAGATAACACCAGTAGTTTTTTTTTTAATTTTGCATGTGAACGAAGCCAAATAGTTATATATTAGTTTTTCTTTATTTTGATATCTTAAAAAAAATGCAATCAAATTACTTCACCCATTAGTCATGTGAGTATTTATCTACAGCTAAATTGCCATCATGCTTACAATTTTTCATTTTTAACAGATATATGACTACTATAAACCTTTCAATTTTCACTTAGCAAAATGCCCAGAGTATGTAACATAGTTATTACAAAAGCTGAGTCTAAATAAAAAGAGCAGAAAATCCAAAACCAGAATATCTTTTTCATCCTTCTTTAAAATAAACTGCGACATTAATTTAAAAAACAAATGTTCTTATTTTAGATATTATTCAACTATCTAAATAATATTAAAATAATGCAATAAAAAAAAAAACATATTAAAAATATATTGAAACACATAACATGGCAAGTAGTCATAATTCCATTATGTTTATCTTTTTCACAGTCATTCAAAACATTGATATATCACCAGATGTAAAAATGTTTGGAAACAGAAAGATGCCAAAAAAAAAAATATTTTTGGTATTTCAACAATTTTCTTGCTTTTTATGAACAGACACATATGTGTTTGAAAATAAAATTCAGAACAGTGCTGTCTTGTTTACATTTTGAAGTTGTGACTTTGAAGTTTCATGGGCTTGAAAACCTTTACTAGCCACCTTTTCTGAACATACAAGATACTTATATTATATTATTAATAATTGATAGTCATTATGCTGTTAAACATTACGTAATATTGCATCAAAATTTCAAAAAAAAAATTATTTTGGACATGCTCCCATCATGACCATTTAAGAAAAACCATGTCACTTACTGTTCTCAAACTTATAAGAAAGAAATGTAGGACTAACATACAGCTTCAGTAGGCAATGCAGTCTGTTTGGTTATTCTTACTGCTAGTTAAACATTTTTTTTGTGAAAATTAAATTTTTCACATATTGGCATTTTCAGGGTGTGACTTTGAAGTTCCACGGGCTTAAAGACCCATGCCAGTCACATTTTCTGAAAATCCGTCATACATATATTTTCTTATTAAAAATTGACGGTCATTCTGCTGCTAACCATTACATAATATTGCATCAGAATAGAAGAAAACACAATTTTGGGTGCTCCTGCCATAATGAACAATATCGGAAAATCATGTTACTTATGCTTGCCAAACTTTCAAAAAAAAAAAAAAAAAATACACAACTAAAATGCAGGTTAAGTTGAAAAAGCAGTCTAATTGGCTTCTTTTAATAGAAGTTATACATTTTCAAAGTGTGAACTTGCACTCCCATGGGCCTGAAGCCTTATGCTTGTTACACATTTTACTTACATTGGCATTACCTTTTGAGCATTATTAACATAATGTAATGTACTTTTGCATCAGAATTAACAGTAGCCTATTTTCTGTATAGTTATTTCCTGTTTTTTGTCTGTACATTTGACAGCTTTGCTGCCTTGTTTGATATTTCCTGCATCTTTACAACATTGTTAGTTGATCATGTAAAAAACATGGTAAATTTGTTATCATGTATTGTGTAATAAAGTGTCAAAAATGGAAATAAACTCATATCATTGCAGTTTGTCAGATTCAATCATCCACTATGTTCAGAATCTCAGAATGGAGGAAATTGGACATTTAACACTGTTCTATTGATACTTTTCCCATCTCATCAATTTTCTTAGTTGGACATATAAAAATGGCAGTAAAATGTTTATTTTGTTTTATGTTAAAAAAGTGTTAAAAATGGAAATAAACCCATTTCAGAACAGTGCTGTCTTGTTTACATTTTGGCATTTTCAAGGCGTGACTTTGAAGTTCCATGGGCCTGAAGACCTTTGCTAGTCACATTTTCTGAATATCTGTGATACAAATATTTTATAATTAAAAATTGATGGTCATTAAGCTGTTAAACATTATGTAATATTGCATCAAAATTTGAAGAAACCCCTATTTTGGGCACTGCTTCCATGATGACCATTTAAGGAAAATCATGTCACTTACTGTTCTCAAACTTACAGGAAAGAAACATGGGACTAAAATACAGCTTCAGTAGGCAATGCAGTCTGTTTGGTATTTTTATTTATTTATTTATTTATTTTGGCAGTTAAACAGTTTTTTGTGAAAATTTAATTTTTCACATATTGGCATTTTCAAGGTGTGACTTTAAAGTTCCATGATCTTGAAGACTTTTGCTTGTCACATTTTCTGAATGTCCATGTTACTAATATTTTATTAATAACATTTGATTGTCATTATGCTGTTAAACATTATGTAATTTTGCATCAAAATTTGAAGAAACTCCTATTTTGGGCACTGCTCCTATGATGACCATTTAAGGGAAATCATGTCACTTACTGTTATCAAACTTACAGGAAAGAAACATGGGTCTAACATACAGCTTCAATAGGCAACGCAGTCTGTTTGGTAAATTTTTGTGGCAATTTAACAGTTTTTTGTGAAAATTTAATTTTTCACTTATTTGCATCTTTATTTTCTGTTCTTTGTCTGTACATTTGACAGCTTTGCTGCCTTGTTCAAGTATTATCTTTACAGATCAAGATGGTTATAGATGCACTGTCGTCCTACTTACTCCTGGACATGCCATGGTCAATCAACATTTCGACAATCTTCAGAACAATTTTTGTGCTTGTACTGTGTTTTATGGTTTATAAGGTCTACCAATTCATCGCTTATGTGGCTCTACAACATAGGACATTATCACAGTTTGATAGTTATGAGGATTTTCATTGGTGGTATGGATCACTAAAAGGGGTAAGTAACTTCAGGGATAAGTGATGAAAAATTTAAGTTTTTAACATATTCACCATAATTGTTGTTTTATGTAGCAAAATGTTCACAAGTTTAATGGTTTTTGCTCAAAATTAAATAAGGAATAAGTCCATATGACTGATGTTGTCATTTATTAAAATGACGAAATGTAATATCATGATAAGAAGGTACAAGATGGGGTATAGTAACAACTTAAAATTAAATGATCACACATATATACCTTATATAATAGATCAAAAAGTTTGCAAAGAACAAAACAATGGCAACAAGATGTGAGAGAAGCTCACATCCCCGCCAAAATTTTCTTTTAGAGTTGAATATGAGCAAAAATCTTTGATGTCTATAGTTTCAGTTTGACTATTTGATTCTAGAAGTAGTATTTTGTTTTGCATGTTCTAATTAGATCACAGACCAATTTATAACTTTTAAACATCTATAAAAGTGAATTTGAACATGCTTATACCTGCTTCACTAGTTTTCTTTGGATGGTTTACCAGTAAGAAACTATGATATATTACGTCCACTTCCAGTGAGTGGTAATTAAAGGACACTAGTCACGTAAATATCCATTTCTCAAATTTTGAAGATTCAGCACTCAATCTATACACTAGACATATGTTTTAATTGGTCCCCAACATTTAAAAAGAATAAAAACTACTTATTAGTATACATGCTATATGTTCATACATACCTAGGGATGTTATATGACCGTGGCGATATGATGATCACTGAAGCCTGTCCATTTAGACAAGCTTCAGTGAAGATTCTNACATCTACAAATTGTACATCATGGGGTCATCTTGTGATCCTGGGTTTAATCTGTTAATAGCACAATGTTTTATATATGAAGAGAATTGAACAAGGACAAAGATAAGTCAAGTGCCTAAGTGTTGATTACCAAGGAATGCTGACAGCGTGTACCAAAGAGTTTTGATATGTACTCAAACATGGTGCACTGACCAAAATTTAACTCATTTAAATAGTACATGGGATGGACTCAGTTTTGGTTATTATTCCTTAACAGAGTAAAATGAAGAATGGCATTAGCTGGTACCTTTTTTTTCAGCAAACAAAGTAGGTGATTACTGTAGAGAAAATTGAGACTAAGAATAATTTATTTAGAAGAATATTAAGTGCTCAAGTGGCATGTCTTGTAAATTATCTGTGATAAAGTTTTTAATTTATTGAATTGTGTACATTGAGATATTTGTTTACGGTCAAATACAAACATGATTACCCAAACTGTTGTATTGTCCTCACAGTTGCAATCAAGTCAGTTGTCTGACCAAATGGTTACAAGTACGTCGAGAGCAGCTGGATTGTTCCACACGTGATCTGTGTTTAACCAATGGTCTAGCTAGACATCAACCAGATGGCAGCACTGAAACTGGAGAGCTGTTTCCTCTGGGTAAACTACATCCATGAACAAGTCACAGTGACCTGTGCTACAATAACAACCACCCTTTCAGTCTTAACAATGACAACAAGCTTTATTGTCTACACAGTATACAGAGTGTATCTTACTACACTTACCCAGGCTCTTGCCCAATAGGAGAGATTATGAACAATAATTTGGATGTAGAAATAAACGTAGCAATATTCACTAGAAAATTTTTCAGAGAAATTGTAAATTGGTTAATTAAAACATTCAGTTACACCAACAAATCTCCCATTCTTTGGGTTTGCTCATTATTAGAAATTTTGTTCATAATCTTGTGTACTATATTTTTCTCTCAAGTTTTTGGAACTTGTTCAAATTCAAAGATTTACATTGCACAAAGCAATTACACATTTACAAAATATGGTGCACAAAATGATGGATGACTTATAAGTTGGGCATATTCTGTGGAGAACTAAAAGAACTATGACTACAGACTTTTTATACAAAACATGAAGCAGTAAAAAAGTTACCCGATAAATGACCCCATGATTAAATGTTACAAAAGCTTATTTTAATGAGTATCTAATGACTGTAACATGAATACATAAACATTCATTTTGATTTCTTTGACTTAAAATGTTTAGATATAAACATTCACAGTGTGTTCTTACTACTCACTAACTGCTCAACATTACAAGTCTAGTATATAATATATACAGTACATTTTAATGATTAATTTTGGTAAATCTGAAGTAAGACTTCAGTTTGCAGTTGTCATATGTTATCCCAGATACAGATACAAGGCTGCGGTCCCTGGTTCCAGAGTTCTGTCAGAACACTCCCTAAATTGGAACAACCTCATACCTGCTAAAGCTGACTGGAAGCCATGTTTGTGGTTGCTGGGACAATAAGTTCATTGCTATCAGATTTCTACAGCACCATGATTGCTTTAAATTACTTCTAATAAAGTAAGAAAGTATATAGAAAATAAATTTCATTTCTTCCCAGCCAGTCCCTATGGAAATATTTGATGTTGATTAATAAACCACAAAACATGATATTTTCAGAGTGCACCACTTCCTTAGCACAAAACAGTCCACAAGACATGGATTCTTGGTGTTTCAAAGTGACACTTGGCAGAAGACGCTATTTAAACTGTTCCGCTGTCTCTGTGACTATCGTGGTGCAGCCATACAAGCAGGGGGTTTACCAGCATGGAACTCTTCAATACACAGGTGACAACTCCAGCTCCCTGAAATGAACACATAACATTATCTCAGTGATTTATTTTAAACATAAGTATTTTAGAAGCAAATAAAGGTCATGGTCAAATGGTTAGACTTAGGTTTGTAAGCTGATTGTATGTAATGATTGTATACTGATGTATTTTACTTGCTGAATGGACTATTTGTGTGGTATTTGTCATCCAAGTAATTTTTAAAGTACAATCTTAAGATTTCATGCAAGTATATTCTGACAATTCTAACGCAATTTTACAAACTGCACTAAAATGTCTCATGATAAGCCTTTCATACTGGCATTACACTACCATGGAAAAGAATTCATGTCATTTTTAAAAGTACGTAAGTTTTGGCAATGTTGCTTACCCTCTGGAGGTTCAGATAGAGGGGGTGATAGGCAGTACATGTGATAGCCTCTGTCACAGTCGTCACAAAACAGGAGTTGATCCTGGAATAATTAACAAATGAGATATACTATGAATAAGTAACATAAGAAAAAGAAAGTAATGATCAAATAAAAACATGAGCATTTAAACTTTGAAACGAAGCAAAAGTTTCCTCACTCAGAACAAATATTAAATTCAATTTCATTATTGAAACAAGTGGGACAGGACAACAACAGGACAGATACCAAAACAGATGAATAAAGAAGTCCTACACCAACTTTTCACTACTTACACCATTCAAGATATTATAAAATCTGGGGAGTCTAAGCATAAAGTCTTATTTTCAAGTTATTGCTCAGTGCTTTAAAACTTTGTGTCTCAAGCACAAATGATCTACACAGATAAGCAGATGGTTGTTCAGTGTATTAATAACACTTACATCATTATCAGACGTGCCACATAAACCACAAACACTTACATCATTATCAGATGTACCACATAAACCACAAACACTTACATCATTATCAGATGTACCACATAAACCACAAACACTTACATCATTATCAGATGTACCACATAAACCACAAACACTTACATCATTATCAGATGTACCACATAAACCACAAACACTTACATCATTATCAGATGTACCACATAAACCACAAACACTTACATCATTATCAGATGTACCACATAAACCACAAACACTTACATCATTATCAGATGTACCACATAAACCACAAACACTTACATCATTATCAGATGTACCACATAAACCACAAACACTTACATCATTATCAGATGTACCACATAAACCACAAACACTTACATCATTATCAGATGTACCACATAAACCACAAACACTTACATCATTATCAGATGTACCACATAAACCACAAACACTTACATCATTATCAGATGTACCACATAAACCACAAACACTTACATCATTATCAGATGTACCACATAAACCACAAACACTTACATCATTATCAGATGTACCACATAAACCACAAACACTTACATCATTATCAGATGTACCACATAAACCACAAACACTTACATCATTATCAGATGTACCACATAAACCACAGGACTTGCACTCTATACACTGCCAGGGATACTTCTTTACTGACACTATCATATTCTCTGTAAACTGAAGACAGGTCGGGTGGCCTGAAAGATTGAACAATCAAAATTGATCATCTTAGCTTTTGTCGAAGAAGACTTTTTTCTCAAATCCCTTAAAGTAATGTATGAAAGAAAGCTAAAGCATAAAACAAGTTGGTCTTAAGACCACAATAAAACTAAAATGTGAATTACATGTACATTTGATTATTTCAATTTTTAATTTGACACTAATAACGCAACTAATGTTTTTCCTTTCTAAAGAAGGAAGTACATAACTTTTTGGGGGTATGAGACTGCCATTTGGTGAAAAAGCCAGAAAATATGGCAAAGGGTTCAGGGGCCACTTAGGCCAATGATATTTTTGGCTCCCAAAAAGTCAGAGATCTGCCGATAGTCGGAAAAATCTCATCCTTGCTTATCTCACAGCTGGCACTATAAACAATAGGATAATTTCACTTGTTTTTTTGCTTACACACATACAGGGGTTTATTATATCTCGGCTACACCCTGATATATTTACGCTCCTGTATGTATTATAAAAGACATATGTCCCTAGACCAGTCTTCTTACCTGATCTGCCACAGTCGGCACACGATACCAGCTCCTCCGACACCTTGGTTTTCTTGTTGAACGTTTCATCGCCCAGACAGAAGTCACAGTAGTTGTTTGGGGAGTTCTTGTGGCGGCCAGATTTTGTACCTGATGGGGCAGTGCTAGTTCCAGCTGGAAGAAAACCAGGTCACAAAAACTTGAGTAAAACAAAATAAACCATCTCAATAGCTTTTCAAGATGTTTCATGTCTAGGATCACATATCCAACACCAAATATCTATGAAAATATAACATGTGGTTTGTTAAGCTTACCTTTCCAGTACACTTGTTTAAAAATTAATTTCTACAAGTTTATTACCTTCAAACTGACATCACTGAATTATTGAAAGTTGCTATCAATTCAGTTGTATAAAAATACTTCATGCTTCACATTGTTATGGGCATAAAATTGGGCAAAAATCAAGCAAATATTGTAAAGCAACAAAGGTCAGCTTTATGTAAATCGGACAAGCTTTCTGAATGAAAACAAACATGATAAGAAGCAGATAAACAATATTGTATAGCAGTCTAACTTGTAAGTTATACCTCTACAAGCAAAACCCTATGTTATGCAGCTGTTTAGTTGTGTATATTAAGGTTATACATTATATTAGAAAAAAAAAAGGTATAATCCATAAGTTCCTGTTATAACTTTCATCAGTTGGCCAAAGTTTTCCAAATCTGTAAGAAGCCCATGATATTGCAAAGAAGTGAAAATATTACAACTACTGAACAAATACATATAGTCTGTACCATGTCCTATATAAGAAATTAAAATAGAAGTGTATGTGCCTTTTATGTTATACTGTGGAAGTTTAGGGTGCCCAATGTCAAAATCATAAAAAAATGTTTGTACATAATAATAAAGACAAGAAAATATGGAAGTGTTTTGAATCATTGCTGCACCTAAACCTCATTAAATTTTACTAACATTCCTCACATGCAAGAAATGTACATTTTAGTGATGACACAAGACAATAACAACTATAATCATGAATAAAAAATGGACATAGACAAGAAAGTGTGTAAACAAGAGATGACGGGACTGAAATGATGTTGACAATGGAAATGACCTGACTGCACTTACTACTGTAAAACTGTCACTTAGCAGTCATCTAATGAACTCACATGGTTTCTGCAAATCCAGGTCCTTTTAAACAGTGGTAAATATTCAGTTTGTGAGAAATCAGTCAAATGCATGAAGCCATGACAGTCAGTAAATGATCACCAAAGATACCAACATGCAAAAAACTCCAAACTTGTAAAATATTTCTGTCAAATCAGTCATGTACAAATTTAGAATGAGAGTTATTTCAAATTCATGATACAAAACTCTTGGCAAAGTATTTCTAAAAAATAACAGCCATGTACAACTGTGTAGTATCAGAGTAATTGGAAAAAGACGATTCCTGATACAAACACCCTGCACAATAAAATCCATTGAAAATAAAACCAATCATAACATTTGCCCAGACCAACTCATTCTATTTCAAGCAATTCAGTTACACCATCTGCTAATATATGGCCATTAAAGATAGTTCTCATCGAGAAAACACATCACATTATTAAAAACAGACGGACTGAAACTGTAATATTTTTACAAATTGCATTTTCCATGTTAGGAACCAACATAGCATTCTTTAAGGAGAGCCATTTACATCCACAGTTTAACCTGCATTAGACAAACTGCAGTTAGAAATAGAAAAAGCTTGAGAAATAGTAGAATGAGTTAGAGTGACATGGCAACTCGCTGTTACTATCATATTGTGGAATCTTTTACAATGTGTGTGGAATTTTAACTGATATAACCTGTCTTGATAAAATATAGGCTGTTATGGCTAGGACATTAACACCCCCACCCCCACCCCCAAAGGCAATGACATCCAAAGGCTGGATTTCAGTGACTATCCAACATTAATGTACAGAAACCATGTGATTTTTTAGATGGTCCCTCAAAAAAGATGCACAAGTCTACAGTGCAATGCATAGAGACAAATCAACAGAAAGAAAGANAAACCCACCTGCTTCTCCAGTCTCTATGTCTGTGACCTTGGTAATACTGATTTAACAATAAAACCCACCTGCTTCTCCAGTCTCTATGTCTGTGACCTTGGTAATACTGATTTAACAATAAAACCCACCTGCTTCTCCAGTCTCTATGTCTGTGACCTTGGTAATACTGATTTAACAATAAAACCCACCTGCTTCTCCAGTCTCTATGTCTGTGACCTTGGTAATACTGATTTAACAATAAAACCCACCTGCTTCTCCAGTCTCTATGTCTGTGACCTTGGTAATACTGATTTAACAATAAAACCCACCTGCTTCTCCAGTCTCTATGTCTGTGACCTTGGTAATACTGATTTAACAATAAAACCCACCTGCTTCTCCAGTCTCTATGTCTGTGACCTTGGTAATACTGATTTAACAATAAAACCCACCTGCTTCTCCAGTCTCTATGTCTGTGACCTTGGTAATACTGATTTAACAATAAAACCCACCTGCTTCTCCAGTCTCTATGTCTGTGACCTTGGTAATACTGATTTAACAATAAAACCCACCTGCTTCTCCAGTCTCTATGTCTGTGACCTTGGTAATACTGATTTAACAATAAAACCCACCTGCTTCTCCAGTCTCTATGTCTGTGACCTTGGTAATACTGATTTAACAATAAAACCCACCTGCTTCTCCAGTCTCTATGTCTGTGACCTTGGTAATACTGATTTAACAATAAAACCCACCTGCTTCTCCAGTCTCTATGTCTGTGACCTTGGTAATACTGATTTAACAATAAAACCCACCTGCTTCTCCAGTCTCTATGTCTGTGACCTTGGTAATACTGATTTAACAATAAAACCCACCTGCTTCTCCAGTCTCTATGTCTGTGACCTTGGTAATACTGATTTAACAATAAAACCCACCTGCTTCTCCAGTCTCTATGTCTGTGACCTTGGTAATACTGATTTAACAATAAAACCCACCTGCTTCTCCAGTCTCTATGTCTGTGACCTTGGTAATACTGATTTAACAATAAAACCCACCTGCTTCTCCAGTCTCTATGTCTGTGACCTTGGTAATACTGATTTAACAATAAAACCCACCTGCTTCTCCAGTCTCTATGTCTGTGACCTTGGTAATACTGATTTAACAATAAAACCCACCTGCTTCTCCAGTCTCTATGTCTGTGACCTTGGTAATACTGATTTAACAATAAAACCCACCTGCTTCTCCAGTCTCTATGTCTGTGACCTTGGTAATACTGATTTAACAATAAAACCCACCTGCTTCTCCAGTCTCTATGTCTGTGACCTTGGTAATACTGATTTAACAATAAAACCCACCTGCTTCTCCAGTCTCTATGTCTGTGACCTTGGTAATACTGATTTAACAATAAAACCCACCTGCTTCTCCAGTCTCTATGTCTGTGACCTTGGTAATACTGATTTAACAATAAAACCCACCTGCTTCTCCAGTCTCTATGTCTGTGACCTTGGTAATACTGATTTAACAATAAAACCCACCTGCTTCTCCAGTCTCTATGTCTGTGACCTTGGTAATACTGATTTAACAATAAAACCCACCTGCTTCTCCAGTCTCTATGTCTGTGACCTTGGTAATACTGATTTAACAATAAAACCCACCTGCTTCTCCAGTCTCTATGTCTGTGACCTTGGTAATACTGATTTAACAATAAAACCCACCTGCTTCTCCAGTCTCTATGTCTGTGACCTTGGTAATACTGATTTAACAATAAAACCCACCTGCTTCTCCAGTCTCTATGTCTGTGACCTTGGTAATACTGATTTAACAATAAAACCCACCTGCTTCTCCAGTCTCTATGTCTGTGACCTTGGTAATACTGATTTAACAATAAAACCCACCTGCTTCTCCAGTCTCTATGTCTGTGACCTTGGTAATACTGATTTAACAATAAAACCCACCTGCTTCTCCAGTCTCTATGTCTGTGACCTTGGTAATACTGATTTAACAATAAAACCCACCTGCTTCTCCAGTCTCTATGTCTGTGACCTTGGTAATACTGATTTAACAATAAAACCCACCTGCTTCTCCAGTCTCTATGTCTGTGACCTTGGTAATACTGATTTAACAATAAAACCCACCTGCTTCTCCAGTCTCTATGTCTGTGACCTTGGTAATACTGATTTAACAATAAAACCCACCTGCTTCTCCAGTCTCTATGTCTGTGACCTTGGTAATACTGATTTAACAATAAAACCCACCTGCTTCTCCAGTCTCTATGTCTGTGACCTTGGTAATACTGATTTAACAATAAAACCCACCTGCTTCTCCAGTCTCTATGTCTGTGACCTTGGTAATACTGATTTAACAATAAAACCCACCTGCTTCTCCAGTCTCTATGTCTGTGACCTTGGTAATACTGATTTAACAATAAAACCCACCTGCTTCTCCAGTCTCTATGTCTGTGACCTTGGTAATACTGATTTAACAATAAAACCCACCTGCTTCTCCAGTCTCTATGTCTGTGACCTTGGTAATACTGATTTAACAATAAAACCCACCTGCTTCTCCAGTCTCTATGTCTGTGACCTTGGTAATACTGATTTAACAATAAAACCCACCTGCTTCTCCAGTCTCTATGTCTGTGACCTTGGTAATACTGATTTAACAATAAAACCCACCTGCTTCTCCAGTCTCTATGTCTGTGACCTTGGTAATACTGATTTAACAATAAAACCCACCTGCTTCTCCAGTCTCTATGTCTGTGACCTTGGTAATACTGATTTAACAATAAAACCCACCTGCTTCTCCAGTCTCTATGTCTGTGACCTTGGTAATACTGATTTAACAATAAAACCCACCTGCTTCTCCAGTCTCTATGTCTGTGACCTTGGTAATACTGATTTAACAATAAAACCCACCTGCTTCTCCAGTCTCTATGTCTGTGACCTTGGTAATACTGATTTAACAATAAAACCCACCTGCTTCTCCAGTCTCTATGTCTGTGACCTTGGTAATACTGATTTAACAATAAAACCCACCTGCTTCTCCAGTCTCTATGTCTGTGACCTTGGTAATACTGATTTAACAATAAAACCCACCTGCTTCTCCAGTCTCTATGTCTGTGACCTTGGTAATACTGATTTAACAATAAAACCCACCTGCTTCTCCAGTCTCTATGTCTGTGACCTTGGTAATACTGATTTAACAATAAAACCCACCTGCTTCTCCAGTCTCTATGTCTGTGACCTTGGTAATACTGATTTAACAATAAAACCCACCTGCTTCTCCAGTCTCTATGTCTGTGACCTTGGTAATACTGATTTAACAATAAAACCCACCTGCTTCTCCAGTCTCTATGTCTGTGACCTTGGTAATACTGATTTAACAATAAAACCCACCTGCTTCTCCAGTCTCTATGTCTGTGACCTTGGTAATACTGATTTAACAATAAAACCCACCTGCTTCTCCAGTCTCTATGTCTGTGACCTTGGTAATACTGATTTAACAATAAAACCCACCTGCTTCTCCAGTCTCTATGTCTGTGACCTTGGTAATACTGATTTAACAATAAAACCCACCTGCTTCTCCAGTCTCTATGTCTGTGGCCTTGGTAATACTGATTTCTTCCAGAGGCACAGCTCGCTTTTTCTTCCTCCACCGTTTGGCAGGGTATGAATAGATCTGGCCAGCACGGGTCCCTGAAATCACAGCATCACAGAGTTTTCATTATATCAAAATCATATTCAAATTATGAGATCTCAAGGCTCTTAATTCTTATAATTACATTGAAAATTTAAAAATCATTAAGCCCTGACAATTTCTCTTATATAATTTTAAAAGTTAAAGATGACATCTTCCACATTTTCTTGACTACACAGGCACCCTACCTGGCATTCTCTGTCTGTAACTGACCCATAGATTACTACACAGGCACCCTACCTGGCATTCTCTGTCTGTAACTGACCCATAGATTACTACACAGGCACCCTACCTGGCATTCTCTGTCTGTAACTGACCCATAGATTACTATGTCTTTGTGCCACTGCAGTATTGGAGTCAACATATGGCAGTCGCATCTGACTTTCCAAATACAATCTGCTGTTGTAACTGGCAGCATTTTCTATGGCCTCCTTGTACAACTGCTCTGGGGACAACGGAACCACAGGCAAACTGAAATACAACAAAACCATGTGAGGCGCATGTGGCATTGATGTGCAGGTTGCAATGCTGTATACCGCACATTTATAATTTACATGCAGCATTGCAATATATGACTCTCTTTACTTTACAAGTCTTTACAGAGGCGTATGGCTTAAATGTGAAATGACACTGAACGGCTGTTTCAGTTATCAAATTAGACAACATAAACAACAAACAACACCCCTAAAATGCATACTACTAACAATATAATGATATAGCAAATTGACTCAGAAATAACTCATAATTGGATAAAAGATATTTTTATTCATGAGGTGATGAGTGGCATTGGGTATTCGGTGTTTCCCTTTAAAAATAGTCAAAATAAGAACAATTGAAAAACCCAACTGATCATGCTTATGGTATAATGTGAAAAACTCATACTTTTACCAATCACATGTCATGACTACAGCGAAAAACGAACATTAAAGACATCTATACCTGGAACCTTTGTTTCGTGCAGGAGTAGCCATATTTGCAAGATAGTCTAATGATCAAGACAGTGTTTCAAATATCTGCCATTAGAATACTGATTTTGTCTATGTATAATTATGAATGTATATTTGAAGGATTTTTTGGGGAAAATTGGCAACTTCTTTTTTTATATTAACCGCAATCATCATACATTATCTTGTTTAGTAGTGCCACCTCGCGTCACAAGGTTCTTCTCGCGAGACTCGAGCAGCGCGATATTTCATTCTGCTACCCAAACAATGAGACATGTTCGTTGAGTTTTATGTCAAACAAACTTTTTAAAGGCAATTGGATTATTCTGCAATTGAAGTAACGGGAAAAAATAAGGAACGGAATTATATCAAGGTTTGTATTTTATTTAAACATGAATTTGATGTTAGATTTACTCTGGGCATATTTTGGGTGAAATTTGATCTGTGAAACAGGTTGATAGAAAACCGACTACTGCTGCTCCAGAACAACGTACACACACAGTGCTACGTTGTAGTTTAACAGCTGAGCTTGGCGTTATGTCACAGGATGAGGTACTTATATATACTGACTGTCATGAAATCCTTACACGGTAGAAATGATTGAGATCTTCATGTCAGTTGTCATTGTCTTTTTTTTTTATGGCTGAATACAGGGTATATTTCAAATTAAAAATTAAATTTATTTTGAATTGATTTAAATTGATAATTGCAGCCATTATATTACATAAATGATGTTTCATTGAGGTAATAAATTTCCCTTGAGAAAACAACAGATTGTGGTATTTTCCCCAAAGGACCACTTACAAATTTGAACATATTGGCTTTTTTTTGGGTCAATGTGATATATTAAAGGGGAGCATTTTTCTACTTTTGAATGGGGAAAAAACAGAATGCAAAATTTTCTGGTGCACATTTCATCAAATGAAACATGATAAATAAAACTCTTAAAGAAGCAATTTCTGAATTCCTAAACATTTTAAACAGTGCGGAATGTATAGTATGTAAAAATAAATTATAGAGTCGCGTACATATCTGATTAAAATTGGATGTGGATTATTCTCAATATTATAATTTCAATTTTCAAGTGGTGCTTAATGATAATACTTTACCTTTTGTTTATTATTTTTAATCATTTAATTGGCAGAAAGGAATAATAATGATAATAGAAATTTAATAGTAATAATTGATAAAGAAAAATTAAAAATGTGTGAGGATAATTTTTAAAAAATGTAATGGTATTTTAACAATTTAGCACTGATTTGATGTAATTGCAGTAAATGATTGAGGTTAATTGAGAGAGTCTGGGTGGTTAGAGTTTTAGTAGAAATCGGGTTTTAAATGCTGAAGTGAAAAGGTTGCTGTCTTATGAATAAAGCCGACTATCATATTTTAATGCTAAATTCTAGAAAAATTATGAAAAACTTGAAATGGAATAATAGAAAAAATTACAAAATACATCAATGAACAAATTAAGTTGTTCATCCTAACAAGAAAAAATTAATGTTTCAGTATAGAAATAAACTGCCTTCTTCTGTTATCAATAATAAATTGAACAACATACTGGATCACATAGAAAGTGCAGTGCAGTCAAAGTAATGCAGAGTAATGGTGCAGACACCATGTGTTGGCAGTCAAAGAAGAACAGCAAAAAATAATGGTAGCCCAGTTCTAAGGAAGCTAAGAAATTCACCTTTGCAAGGCATGCGTGAAGACCTAAGTTCAGGAATATGTTCCTCAGACCAAAGCTGGTGGTACTATATAGAACCTGTACATTAAGATGTGATGTTCTAACACTTACCTGCCCTCCATGTTAGTGCCTTGCCCTCCTTGCTGTACCTCTCCAGTGTATACCCTGGCTATTTGCATAGGTATATTTGGTATTTAGCTTAGAAATTGTCTTCACAACTTAGGGATGGGAGGTTGCATAAACCTTGTAAAGAAGAGATTAGCTGGTGGCTCTAACTTGACCCCTAGTTTGCCTGGTTTTCTGTCTCCCTCATTCTGTGTGCCAGTGCCAGTCCCAGCTAAAACCTGCCAGCAAGCTGTATTGAACACTTGAGATATGAACTAGTCAAAGGTCTGTGTAAAAACTCATGAAATTCACGGTAAATGTGATTTTGTTGGTGACTGCATTAACCTTGAACATATAGTTTGAATTGGCTGGAGTAACTGGTGTAATTGGCTGCAGAGGAGACATAATAGGAAAGTTTGCCTGTATTCTAGAGGTAGACTGAAATCTAGGCTGTGAAACTCAGGGTGAACAGTTTAGGGTGTAGAGAGAGCCGAGCTGCGACAAAACTAGGGTGTTTATTGCTCTTGTTTAACTTAATAAACATTCCCAACATCACCTGCCTTGGTTTTATAACAGAATTTGCTGGCTGCTATAATGGAATTACTCCAAGAGAAAATCTGATTTAAGCTTCTCCTAAATTGTTTCAGTGGAGAGAGTGTCAAGAAGGGACCTTGGTGTAAAGGGGATTTCCAGCTCTGTAGAGCATTGGAAGTTTACAATTAAGGAGACACTGTAGCTCATTATCTACTTGCCAGAATAATAGGACTTCTTGAAAAAACAAAAAATAAATTTTAGGAAATAAAAGAATGTTTTCATCCAGCGATGTACTATATTTGTTATTCTTGCAAAGGAGGAAGAAAATTGCATTATATTTTAAATACCTCTGACACTTAGTTTATAATAACTAAATACATAAATTACATAATTGCCATAAGTCATTTTGTCAGCAAGATTTTCTTGAAGACATATTCTGCCTTCTAAAAAACCTCCAACCAAGTAATGTACTAATTCCCTGGGATGCTTAGTTCAGGTAGCTGGAATGTTCGCTAAAATTCAGGTAACTTGCAGATATTAACGGACATTTTCTTTGTTTATTTTATTCATTAACGTCCCATTACCTGTTTGAGTCAACAAGCCTAGAGCAGCGGTAAATTCAGTAGTTTCTCCCATGTTGACAGTAAGTGGCTGCAGTCATAAGCCATAGGACAACAGCTAAACCTAATTCTTACTGCTTCACTTCACAGTCTGAAAAGAGGGGCTACTGACACTTTGTGCAAAGAATTTTGTATGCGTTATGCAGGTAAAAGGTTTTCAGTTATTCGGTCAGAGTTTATTATCAGAGAGTGGTATTAATTTCATGAGTAAATGTAGAATGAAGTGTTCATATTTATATTGTACTGGTAGGTAGATGAAAGTTGAAATGTTTGATCTGAATTTATTGTTTGGAAAGATTTAGAATGTCAAGTTCAACAAATGAGTAAGGGAACAGTTCATAGATATAAATGTCATTTGGTAGGTATATCAAGTTCAGGAGATAATGTTTTGTGTTGTGAAGTAGAAGTCACAGTTCAGCAGAGTGATAACTGCAGTACAGGGAAGAACATGATATTGTTGCTGGTGAATAATGGATGAAAGGTTTCCAAAATCTGTGATGTAGAACTGAGCCGTCAGTAATTGTAATGCTTGTATTTAATTCTCTACACACTCCATACTGATAGAGCTAGCTTAGAGCTATATTTTCATCCACTCCTCAGAAAGCTGTACTGTAAGTGTTTAATGTAAATTTTGGTTATACTAGTACATGTATAGGTTTTTGGTCATTTTGGTTTCTGTGTGACAGAAATTTGTTTGGGAAATTGTGTCTTTAATAGTATTTATATCCCTTAACTTGAGGAAAAATAATAAATTATCATAAGCTAATATGTTGTGCAAATACAGTGAAATTTAATTTTTTAAAAGGTTATTTGCCAAAGCAGCTTTCGTTAAAAGTTTTGAAAAATCCTCTCATCTTTACATCTTGCCTGGTAAATTACAGAGCTGTGTCCATGTAGATGTAGATTGTAGACTTTCATCCCTAGAATACATGGTTTCACTTGACCTGGGAGGGTTTGTTTGTGTTAGCAACAATATTCAGTGAATTCTCAACTGCATTTAGTTATAGTCTCAACTCTCCTATCAGTCAAATAGTTTGCACTCTTCCATAAGGTTACACAAGTGTTACCAGCTGACATTTTGTGTGGTAAACCAGTATTTTTATAGGTATTTATAAATGTTTACAATAGATAATTCATTTTATATATGGACAAACTACCAATTTTGGGTTATTGTAAAAATTTCAACCCCAGTCCAATTTCAGCAAATATACTGTAACTTCAAGTTTTCATTCTGAAACCTTTGCAGGAATTTTAAAATGAACTTTCAGGCGTGGAAGCATAGGACTTCACATAATGTATTGAAATTATCATCTATCAATATTATGTGACCACTAGGGTCATTTGGTGTACATTGAAATGGTCAGTTAGTATATTTCACACCTCCCCCCTCACCCCCCCCCCCTGGCATGGGGCTGGTCTGTTGTGATGATAAACCATACATTTTTTATGAGCAGTGACTAATCACTGCTGCCATTGTTCTACAGCTCTAATCAATAAGGTGCGACAAATAGCACATTTATACCTCATAATAACCAGACACTGATGAGATTCACTAAAATTAGTCTAGACAATTATTAAATTAATTCCTTTAGAATATCGTTCATAAACGTGTATGAAATGTGATACTGAATTCAAGGGTGATGATACTTATATCTTCAGTTCTAGGTATAAAACTCTTGTATTATGTATATAATACTAGGTTGATAATTGTGTATTCTGTGTCTTGCCACAGTAGCATTTGTCATATATACCTTCAACCTGCACAGAATTATAAAACACTTTGGTTGTACAGTGGCTGCTGGCAGTCCTTGAAAGCAGGAAACATAAATGACACATATTAATGGCAGCATACCAAGAGTAACAATAGATATGTGACAGAGTTCTAGATGGTGGTGCCACTCTCTCATTGCCTGGGGGACTTCTGGAGATAAGACATCACAGTGAACTGGTGGGGAGCCATTGCCAGCACCTGCTGTTAAGGTGTTATATCTACAAACTTGGTACAATTACTGTATTTAGTGGTATATATACATGTATACTCTAGTAAAANTCTCTCTCTCTCTCTCTCTCTCAAAACTAGACATGAGCCGCAGACAAAGCACAGTCATATTATTGAAAAAAAAAAAAAACTTTTCAAGTGATCAAAGTAAATGTTTCTTTTCAAAAATCACTCAATAATACAAACACTGCATGGGTATGCACCTTTTCTTACAATTGATTGTAAAAGGACAAGAACACTAAACAGGAAGAGATTCAGCTATTGATTTTTTATCGGAGATCAATGCTTGATCAATCCAAGTTCAGATTGTTTGTGAAAGTGTCAATGTTCTGAGACCTTAGGTTTGTGAAGTTCAGGTGGAGATGAAGTCCAGTCTGGTTATTTAGTCATACCCTTTGTGTGGTCATTTTGTTACCTAGGGTCAAGTTAAGTTGTTTTAGTAATTGCAGCTTTCTAAGTAAAAAATTCTTAAAAGCAAAATAATCAGATTAGATATCAGATTTTTTCAGACAATATTTAGCTCAAATTTTCCATATCAAATACCTTCCACAAAATGATAAAAAAGTCTAAAAACAGTAAAAGCATTATTTTAATATGTGAAAGATATAAGAATATAACTTTGACTAAAGATGATCAATATTATAAGTTAAGAAATTATTTAAATTTTTTTGTCTAACTTACCCTTGATTTAGTGAAAATTTATCATTAAGCAATTTTGAAAAAAAAAAAAAAATTAAGAGTGACCCAAAAAATAAAAATGACATACTCTGTACATAGATATTTAGTAGTAGAAAAATAGAAATATTTAAGGTGTTTAGACACAACAGCCAATCTTTAGAACACTACTGTCAGTGACTATATTTGGCATAAGTCAATGAAGTACAGAATATTATACCAGATTATGTAGGGGTAACAGCATACATTGTTATGTTCATGTAAATTGTTACAATCATGATATTTCTGGTCATTTGACGTAAGGGTGGCCGCGGGATTATAGCCGTCTTGATGTCATATATAGCTTTCTATCAATAACCACTTAAATCTAATGCTATTTAAATTTATGTACACAGTCATTTAAATCCTACACAGTACACACCACAATGCAGTTCACTATTGTAAATATTTCAGAAAGGACATATTGTAAAGGGTGGATATTTGTCCCTATGAAGGTAACAAGGGTTTACTGTTATTCTATTAGTACCCTTGTTTCTTTAACTCTGACCTAATTATTGACAGATCACATAAGGGTAGAATTTTAGGTTTTATTATAGTAAAATGTATACACATTCTTGTGGTTTATGGTCCCAGGTGAAGTAAAAGATACATTGGCCACTGAATTTTCGTCTCTCAAGAACAGTTCGCCATGTTCCAGGAAACTTCACTAAATACAACTACATCTATTACACATTTAAGTTTTGACCTAATAGCCTAAATAACAGTCATTTGTTGTTCAATACAAAAAAGGGTATTCAATAGTACTAGTAGATTTATGTAATATTGGTCTCGGCTGTAATGAAGCTTTTTGTAATTTCTTTGACGATGTTTTCTTTGCAGACTGCCACAGCCTCTATTGAACTTTGAAAAAATATACAAAAATTTCAAAGCTAATTAAAATTGGAATTAAGAAGTGGGGTTGGCCTGCAGGTTCTTACTACATCATAATGTCCTTTTATTGACCCCAATCTCTCTCTCTCTCTCTCTCTCACACACACACACACACACACACACACACACACACACACACACACACCCTTGGCAGTGATACACATTGTAATTCACCTCCCAGCCCCATACTGTATATACTACCCAATATCACATTGTGACCAGTTGTTTAGGTCATGTGGGAAAGGTGACAGCCATTGTCCTGTAGTTCTTAGATGGAATCAGTATTGAATAAACAGATTGGTTACTTGAGTCCACATTACTACCACTGGGTCACTGCTACCATACAGGGTGTGTTTTTAGGCATCAGTGAACAGTTTCTTTCCTGTCCTATGTGCTAGCTTCAACATTGGACACAGCTAGAATAATGTTAGATAACTGTTTTTTGCTTGACTTACTGAAATTATATAGCTTATGTCATGTTTCGAATTATTGAACCATCCAAATGGTTGAATAAATTAAATGGATTGAGGAATGTTGTGCAAGACAGCAGCTAAAGTGTATAGTAGTTATATGTACGTACAGTGAATAACTGTGTGTGTATATATATATGTATAAGACATTGTAGATACTACACAGATTTCTTAGTATGTTATTCATGCAGCTTTCCCAATGCAATGCTACAGCTGTTACTTCACTTCACTTCTCCACAGAATATGCACCAATCATCACCTCCATTTTAAATTGAAAAATATTGCCTTGCTGCTGGTATTAGCAGTGACCTCTCTACAAGGTCTCTTACTTGACTATATTCAGTTTGGAAAAAAAATTAAATTCTGCTTTTGCTGTTATGACTGTATGAATTAAAAAATTTCACTAATCCTGGGATGAATTTTAGTTAAAGCTTGTAATTGCATGAACAAATTTCAATTAATTTTTATCAGAGTATATAACATCCATTTTGTTGTGTGGCTGAATAGTTATTAGTTTAACTGCAGCTGTAAAAGACAGAAACACTTTGAAAGAGATAGACTGAAAGCAAATTAGTTTAACTGCAGCTGTAAAAGACAGAAACACTTTGAAAGAGATAGACTGAAAGCAAGCAATTGGTAATAATTGTACGTACAGTATTGCTGAAATTTTCAGGCAGAAATTTTCAGAGATATGGCCTTTTAGCCCCCTTCCCCCAACCTAAAGCATAGTACTTTACTTACACCCCATTTCCACAGATTTTAGATCGATCTATCCCTGTGGGGAGTCTCACTAGATTACTGGCAGCTTAGCTGGCTAATTAAGCATCTGTCCTGCCTACTAAAAGCTGTAAGGGGGTAATTAACTACCGTGCTCAGCTGACATCAGTTTAGCGTGAACCTCTAGGGATTTAGGTCAATCGAGATGGATCGATCTATATCTATGGGAATGCACTCTTAGTCTTAAGTTTTTCAAACAACCCTATTGTAAGAAGAGCAGTAGTTGACATATCAGCAGTCTCACAGTGAGATATATTTACACTTGTCAACCCCTCAGTGGGTAGCTGCTTGTACAGAGATGTATCTTTACTGGTGTCTTGATCATTTTAGGTGAGCCTGAATTGTTAGTACAAAAATTTAACATGTCTTGATCATTTTGAATGAGTTGGAATTGTTTGCACAAAAAATTATCTTGTCTTGATCATTTCAGATGAGTTGGAATTGTTTGTACAAAAATTTATCTTCTCTTGATCATTTCAGTTGAGCAGAAATTGTTAGTGCAAAAATTTATCTTGTCTTGATCATTTCAGATGAGCTAGAACTGGACGAGCTCTGTTCCAGTATGCCACAGCCTGAGACTGAGGGAGAAGATCTGGCGGAACAGCTGACAGAGGTAAAAACTTCAGACAGAAATACCACAAACTATTTACAGAAAATAATTTAACATTTTAGCAATTGATTAGCATTACCCATATTAACACCCCATTTATTTTACGTGCAATAAAGGTGTTATTTTTATCTGCCTGGAGAAAGACGCCTGAAAATGTGATGACTTCCCTAATGTTGCATGTTGGTACTATAATGTTCACTTTTTACTGTAATGAGAAAAAGACTGATAAAATATCTTCTAACTGCCCTCTAATTTGGATCTTTGCCAAAGTCCACATTCATTTCAAAAAGCAGAAACTGAGAAGTCAAAGGTGAACATATTTGCTCAAACTGTGTAATTTAGACACTAACAAAGCCTTGCAGTTGATATTGTAATCCCAGTGAAATAAAGCATACATGTGGCAAATCAAGTGAAAAATTAGGGCAGCTATAAAGCCGGATACTTTTCAAAGATCATGAAAGTAAAGGGTGCGGGGTTTGCAAACTAGACACTGGCTTATAAAATGACTTGAAAGAATGAGACAACAAATTAGGGCGTAGTCTTTGTCCTGCCTTTGTCTCAGACTTTCAGATAAAAAGGCCATACAAAATATTGGTTGTTGTCTCAGGAGATGAGTGAAGTTTGTTCAAACAACATCCACACACCAGAAAGTAATCCAATTTGTATTTGAACAGCAGGCTAATTTTACATTGGTTTGAAAGTCTTTCAGGAAGCTGTTTTTTTAGTGGGGCATGTCGGATTTCAACAGCTACATGCAGTGAGATTTGTTGGTCGTTATTCACTTGATTTGAGTCATTTCAGCAGAGTATTGATTGACTACTCTTTGTATACAACATATGCTATCAAATGGGAGGCCTTTAAAACAGGGAGTGAAAGTTCAAATATTGTGCAGAATATTGGACTCTAGTTCTCAGTGTCTTTTAGAATTTAAGGGGAGGATAACTGTTATATTAATTTATAATGACTGTCCTGAAAGAAGGACAAGTAAAAGGATTTGAGGGGGAAGGAGGAGGGGGGGGGAGAAATGATTTATGTCAAATTGTCTTCAAATTTGTGAAAATATTTGTTAAAAAATATGTTCAATAATAAGGGTTAATTTTAAAATTAACCCTTTCAATTTTCTTTTTTCTGGTGTATGATGTTTTTTTTAAAAATCTGAATTAGTTTATTTAATTATATGTCACAATAACTGATATTGCATTGCCTAAGGAAGTTGGAAAGGTGGGGGTGGGGTATTTAATGGTATTTTTAGATATGGCTCTGAGGACACACAGTATACGTACCATGTTAAATTATTGCCAGCACTGTTGACCACTGTAGTGAATACAAAATAAAATATTTAAAAAAAGCTATTTACACCTTAGAACTGTCAGTAAGCCCCACATGTGTAAAGCTGGTCTGTGGGGCCCTAACAGGTGTAAAAGGGTATATCTTCCTGGAGAAGATTACTCATATACCTGTATTGGAACTGAACAGGTATTACAAGGTATATATATTCCTAGAAAGAATTCCTAGGAGGCCAGTATTGGCTCTGAACAGGTATAGAGAGGTAAATATTCCTAGAGAGAATTTCTTGGAGGCCAGTATTGGCCCCGAACAGGTATAGAGAGGTAAATATTCCTGGAGAGAATTCCTAGGAGGTCAGACTTCATGAGGATAAAGATAGCATTTTCTACTGGTGATACATACATCTCTGTCTAGGTGAACATTTTCCAGGTAATAGAGTACAGGGCTTTTCACAATTTCCTGTCTTAATGAAAAAGATTGAACAAAAGCANACTGATTGCTTGGGTCATTAGGGCTTACTTGATTGCCTGTCAATCATTCTGGCAGTGCTAGCGGTAACCCCTTGAAGTTACTAACAGGAGGTGAGATTGATACAAAAATAAGATTTTCTGACATCCAAATACATGCAAACAAGCTAATTTCAACCGGCAAAAGAGTACCCATCTTCGCGATCGTCAGAACGATAACAGGTAAAGCTGTCAACAATTTTATTTGCTTATATGGACAATTAACTTCACTGAAAGGGTTTTTGCTCGTTTTCTTTGCTTTCAATATTGACGAGATAGCGTTATCTTAACAAGCTTTAACTATCTACCTGTACACCTGAGGGAGACCAAATTCACCATGCTAATTATGAACAGTATGCTCTAAAAGTGCTTTTTAAGAAATTTTGATTGATCCTCTCTTTTCTAATTTATAGACTTTGAAAGTGAAAATTCCCTAATATTTTGATGTAATTTCACGTTTTTATAGATAAAATCAACAATAAGTGTCTGAAGAAAAATCCCTGACTCCATGCTGTAGTACTTTGTTCAAGTGTCATAATGACATCAAAAGCAAGTTTATAGCTGTCCAGGTGCCTGAGAAAATCAGGTGTATAAAAATGGTGTTTTTGTCCCCAAAATCCCAATATTACGTCACACGATGAAGTTAAAGCTGTGTTCCAAGCATAATTAGATATTTTGAAGATACGTTAAATGAATGTGACAGGAATAAAAAAGCCAAGACCTTTATTTTAAGAGAAAATCTCAAACCTACATTCCCTCCTTAACCATATTTACTGGTGATGACTTATACAGTGTAGTTAAAGAACTGGTCAGATTACCACTGTTAGACAAAATGTTTTGCTCTGGAGAAAGTTTAAACATAGCAACTTTTGAAAAATGGCCCTTTATGTGGTGTTCATATGGGTCTGCCTCTCTGTACTGAAATTTGAAAAGTGTGAAATAATTCAGTTTGGTAGCCCATAATATTTTTTTATTTGCTTTATTAATAATGGATTATTTTAAGATAAATATTTGACATGCTGTTGGGAGCCAAATTGAGCTCATGCTGACACAGGGTTTGGACAGCTCCTAGAGATGAGTTCCCCATTTTGTGAGCAATTGTGTCTGAAACTTTGAATTTTTTTAAAGCTGTTTGAAAGAAACAACATTCTTGCATAGGTTCATTCAGAAACACTGTCATATATCAACTTGCCTGTTGTTTGATTTAATACATGCAGAGTGGTAATTTTGTTTTCTTCCATATTTCCAGCTCCAGTCCATGATGTTGGAACTAAAGGATGGGTTTGTTCACGCCATGGAGGAACTCTCCAAGATACAGAATGGAGACACCGCTGTACAAGAGCGCTACGAGGCGTCCAAGGTGGAGCAGGAGAAACAGCTGCAGGACATTAAGGATATGGTGAACTCACTAAAGGTAATGTATCCAGGGGGGAGGGGGGGTGCACTGAGCTACTGAGCTGTGAGCCAGGGGGAGGTGGGGGTGCAAATACTCAGCTGTGAGCCAGGGGCTGGTGGGCCACTTTGTTTGCTCAGAACTTTTTTATTAGACATCATTTGTGCAGTTTAAGGGTAAAAAAACATAATAAGCTCTTCTTCTTGAAATTGTGTATCATAAGAGTAATTGATTATGAATATGGGTATTTTTCATCCAAATCGATATCTTTTTTATTTTCCACTTACAAAAGCTCATTATGTCTAGGACAGCATACCTGAGTACTCTTGTACCTTGAAATGTGCGTTGTATTCCCCCCTCACCTCCCGGGTATATAGTCCTCACATCTTAGGTATATACACTTCACCTCTCAGGTATAGATACCTGAAGTACAGATCATATCTCAGTGAACTGGTGCAGGTTTTATTCTCATAGCCATGTTGGAAACATGCTTAGTGTACAATAAGTAAAGAATAAAACCAGGCACAGACTTGGCCCAGTGTGTCTGATACAATAGGAAGGTGCTGAATAACTGCATTGATTTCACTGGGATGACTCTATGAAGAGCATTCTCTACACTGAGAAGAGTCGATAACTAAGTTCAAGTCTCAGTTGATACAGCTTATTATCTGTGAACTAAGACTTTGTCACAGCCAGGGGTGTAGATACCCTGATTTGTTATTTTTTATTGTGGGTTTTTTGGCGTTTTTTAGTCATTTGGGGTTAATAGAAGGATTTCTTCAATTCCGACACAGTAAAATGGCATCTGCATTGAAATTTTTCAATACTGTATATGATCAACCAATTTGCCTTTATTCTGAACATCATGTAATTTTCTACTTAATCCCACAGTTTGAATAAGTTTTGTGAATTCACATCTGCTCTCATCTTTTTTTTCTAAGTTTTTTAAAAACTTAGCTGTCTGTGATTTGAGTTGATTTGACTAGTCAGTGTAATCTCTTCTGACGTCTGCTACTGGAAATGTTAATGACTTAGAATTCAGAATTTATTGCAATATTTGTGTAACATACTTTCTTAAAGTGCACAAGAGCACATGGACCCATAATTGTTATACAGATTTCTGGCCTCTGCAAGAGTAGTCTGATTCAGTAGAGAGATGCTTCTGCTTTCTTCCAAACTTTTGTATGTTTAGAGAGAGAAGTTAGAGATAAGCTTATGATGTAGATAAGTTTCATATCTATGAACTATCTCCGTGATGTTATCCTAACTGTACTGAAGCCTGGAAGAAGCAGTGTAGAGCGTTAAGAATCCCTGGCTGGGCCTGTGATGGCAGTTGATAGAAATTTCTTTGGTTGACCTTTGCAATAGTGTCTGTAGCAGGGGCAGATTGAGGCTGTTTTCTGGATCTTCAAGAAGATGGTCAGACTTTCAAGTTTACATTGACGGGTATCTAATTTTTTCCTGTCAGAAGACAGTCCAAAATGGAGAATACTCAACAAAGATAATTTGGAAGACAGTCAGATCCCTGACTGGATCCCCCCCTGTGTAGAACTTTCTGCTTAGAAATGCAAGAAGCTGTATTGAACACCACAGATATCTTTTGACTCACGTCTTCTATAAACATGTCAGGCAGGTGGTGTGTCTGCGTATTAGAGAAAAAAAAAAAAAAAACAGAACAGACATTTACTTCTTGCTGGAGTCTTACCTGGAAATTTACCAAATGTTTTAATACACTACTGGCGTCATTGCTTTTACGTTGCATAGGAAGATTATTGAATGATCAACATATCAATTTTTCATGCTATCATTGCATCAGTGATATCTTTTGTTTTTGTTGCTAGCTGTTATAGGTTTTTTTAGTCATATATTGCTTATTTGGAGTGCATATTAAGAATAAAAAGAAAGATAATTTTTTTCATGCCTTTGGGACTCATTTCAGTGCTTTTGGAAAGTTGAAAAGATGTAATAAATGATTTCACAAGCACAAAGTCAGCAATGCTGGAGTCAAAATTTGATATTCGTCACCGCTATCCTTTTATGGATTGGATAATGACAAATAAGTGAAGCATTAAATGGCTGATAGCAAGCACTGTGCCAGCACCTGGTTCTGTAGTGAGATAATGTAGTTTGATATGTGACAGAAGTCACGTATTTGTAACTAGTATATGTCACATATATGACTGTGAAGTGCTCTCTCTTTGCTTCAGAAACCCCACCACCTGCACCTGGCTTTCATCTTGTTGATATTTTTCCTTTTGTTAGTGTCTGAACTAATAGAAAATATAGAGATCTGCAAGAAGAATTTAGATATTTTTCTTACTCAGAAACTACACAAAAAGCTGCAAGAAATTGAACAGCAGCATATGAAAAAAGCACTCTGTCTTTTATATCTCCTGCCACTCTGAGCTGATCAGGACACAGGGATGAACCTGCCATCATATCTCTTATAACTAAGCTAATTTGGCTCTGTTCACTGTTGTTTTACTATGGAAGGCAAATACAGAGCTTTCCACAACATCTGTATTCTGCCTCTCTTTAGAACACAGAACACTGGTCATGTTGATTTCTGTAGAGCACAGAGCTTCAGTAGAACACTGGCCATGTTGAATGTTCTGGGGGCTATTCTAGTCTTCTACCAAGTTCTTCAGACTTTACTGTACCAGATATATTTTAGTTTTTATAATTTAACATATGAACTGCTTGGAAGACTTGCAGTCAACACAGAGGTATGAGGAATGAGATAACGAGGTAGACTTATCTAGTCTTCATTAAGAAGTTGAATTATCTGGTCTTAATTGTGGAGTTGATATACTGTAATTTTGATATGATGAGCTTGCAAAATTAGCTAAACAGTCAGTTTCTCTATATTTGCACAAGCATCACACAGTATTCATAAACTTTCAAACAACATTTGTATAAAGTTAAATGTCTGTCTCCCCCTCTCTAGGACCAGTTATAGATAAAGTTTAATGTATGCCTTTCTTCCTCTAGGACCAGTTCCAGTCAGTATCCAGCCAGGTGATCACAGCTAATGAGAACCAGACTCACCTGAGACATCAGGTAGACAGACTCCAGCAGGAGAGAGAGGTGCTGCTGCAGGAGTTAGAGAGATCTGGAGCCATATCTAACCAACTCAGGTAGGGTTATAGTTCTTGTTCTGTAAGTTGGAAAGATGCCATCTCATTGTAAGCACATATTTTGAGTTTTCTTTGCAGCCACTGAATTCCGTACTTTACCACAGCCCAGGATCTTTGCACTCACTCTACCTCTCTTATTTCCACTTCTAGGCAGAAGTTTGGTAATGGACTCCATTCTAGCGATGCCAATCATGTGACCAGCGACCATGACAGTGGGGTCGCCACAACGTACCGTCCAGACGTGTCTTCTCATGGAGACGCAACGCCCCCTATGATCTCCCCCATGGTCCGCCCCTTTATAGCAGGCCTTCAGAATGCTAACCGTAAGTTGTCTGATATTCAAACATCATTTGGGAAATAATTTAACGTTTTTGTTTTTTTTTTAGATTTTAAGTCTTTTCACACTTTTTAGATATCTTTTCTTTTCCTTTACTATCTGTGCTTAGACTACTACGCTATCATATTATTGTGAACAGTGTTTTATTCATGTTTTTGGATATGTAAGACTCAAATTTGATGGGTACCTGTGTCACTTTGAAAATATTTTTTGTATATATAATTTGCAGGTCCTGAAGACAATTTTGAAGAGAATTACGACTCAGATTCATCTCTGATTGAGGCAGCCAATAAGAGTTTGAATCTCAGCCGTTCACTGGGTCAGAAGTGCCTGGATGTTGACCCGTCCAACTCTAGTGACGGCAGTGATAACGAGAAAGAAAATGTTTCTTCTGCACAGGTATTGTGCATTAATGTTCCTTGTGTATTGTGTTGTATAGCTATGAAGACAACAATTACCTGGTCTTTTTTCTCTCCAACATGAGTTATTTGACAAATAATAAGGTTCTGTAAGACTGTTTGATATCAATTTTAAATGATTTCATTTACTTACTGTTAAAGCATGTCAGTATGTCTTTTAAAAATAGTAGTTTATGCAAGACAAATATTTATCATGGTCTTACTTGTGACACATGTTAAATCTTATTATTATTACCTTTTTATTAAAAATTTCAGGGTTTTTCGTCACCAATGAACAGACACAAAAGTTCATTTTCACCAAAGAAACTTCCACCTCATGAATTATCAATTAGAGAAAGTACGTATTGAACTGGTAGAATTATCACTTAGGTCACCTTTTAACTTTCAAGGCAGTTTTTTTTTAAGTTTTGACCTTTAAGCTTCTCATTTAACTCTGAAATTTAATTCTAATAATTTTTTAACAAATTTTTAATCATTTTATTTTCAAATCAAACTTTATTATTATTATTTTACATTGATATCACTCTTAAGAATTTGGACAGAATCCAATTTCTGATGTATATTTTAAATATACAGATATGATTTTTTTTTCCTTGGAAAAGTGAAATTTTTAATTTTTTTATGCTGGTGCCAAAGATTTGTCAAGGTTAGGTGTTGGGCCCCATGATAAATGTTCAGAGGGTTTTTTAAACCTATCCTCATGTCTGCATATATAAGCTGAATAAATTAATATTATTATTATCTAGAACGAAATAATGATATCTGTAGTACCCAGAGTTTTGATGAAGGTGTGAGACTATACATAAGACAGTTTTTATAATCCATGTTTTCTCTCTCAGCTCAGCGTTCCCGGGTTGCCAGGGAGCTGTTGGAGACGGAGAGGAAGTACTGTAGCAGCCTCTGGACCATCGTGGACACCTACTGCCAGCCAATCAAACAGTCCGGCTGTACTGGGGCCAAGGACATAAGGTTGGTGAAATATATAGATTTCTGTACTAGAAATTTCCAACAGTCTGTCTGTACTGGAGCCAAAGACATAGGGATGGTGAAATATGTATACAGAGTTTATATCTCCCTTCCTGTAGTCTGATGTTCCTATCTAGTGTGTACAGACTAATAAAATATATGGATTTCTGTATTAGAAATATTATCAAGAGTTCATATGTTTCTTTCTGTAGCCTGACATTCCCATCTAGTGTGTATGGGCTAATGAAAGATATAGATCTCTGTATTATG